CCCAACCACCCACTCCCAAAGAAAGGCCCATGCCCCTTCAAATCTTTCTGATGGTACTTTATACTGTCAATTTATTTTTCCATGCATCACTGGTAATAATAGTACATCCCCTTCTCACAAGTCTTGTTTTCATCATCATCATCATTGAACAAGAAACTGTTGCCGCCATTGTTGTTGATCACGATGCTCCCATTATTACAACTGTTCTCCAAAACCCCATTTGCCTTCTGATCAGTAATATTTGGATTGTTAATAAGCATGAATTTCTGCTTTTCTTCAACCCCATTATTCGATATCACAAAACCCTGTCGGCACACGCCGCCGGCGGCGGCCATTATCTCTTCTTGCTTGACTTGATAATCTTTGCCGCCGTAGGTGACCTGGCTGCAGCTCCCATCAGATGAAGAACAACTCGGCTGATGGTCGTTCCCCCCAAACACAAGCATATTGTTATTATTGTTATCGTCTTTCCCATAGTACTGGAAATCCACCAATCCCTGATTTTGGTCATAATTATAAGGATACTGAGTTGCGGCGGCGGTGGTGGTGGATAGTGAGAAGTTGTTGTTGTTGTTGTTGTCGGAATTATTAGTAGTGTAGAGAAAATGATTTTGTGGTGGGGCTGAAATTGTGTGGAGAGATTTATAATTAGCAGACGCCTGGAAGCTGAAAAACGATGAGTTGTTGTAGTCGTTGTATAGCGGTTGGTAGTTTTGAAGTGTGCCTGAAAATGGCGGTGGAAATTTGGCCTGCAGGTTTGATGAAGGAATAATCATGGACATGAGTTTCTTCTTGAGCTTTGTGTTCCAGTAGTTCTTTATATCATTGTCTGTTCTTCCTGGTAATTGAGCTGCAATGATCGACCACCTGTTCAAAACATGTCGTAATTAATACAACCTTTTATGTACCATTCAATATAAATTTTTACAATAAATTATTTGTTCATTCGATATTTTTGGTTTTTTCCATTTCCATTTCCATTTCCAGTAAGATTTTTTGGAGGTTTCTGTCAGTTGTAACAGACTAAATTGGGACAAAACATGGAAATATATATATACATAAAATGAGGTTATATATGCATGTGTTGGTGGGGGTACCTGCTACCAATGGTGGCATAGAGAGTACAGATTAATTTGTCTTCTTCGTCGGAAAATTCGCCGTGTCTTATGTTGGGCCTAAGATAGTTAAGCCACCTCAATCTGCAGCTCTTTCCACATCTTTTCAGACCTGATTATATTCATTCATTAATAGAACACAACATATATAGGATAATTAAGTAGTAAGAATTAATTACAAGTATGTTTTATTTATTATAAATTAAGTTCCTTACCAACTTTTTGAGGTAGAGCAATCCAATTTCCACCGGTCCCGAATTTCTCAATGAACTCCTTCAGCTTTGCATCTTCTTCAGGCGACCATGGCCCTTTCTTCACATTTGCCTTGTCACAGCATGGTGCTCTCCCCATCTCTCTCTCTAGATCTCTCTCTCTCTCTCTCTCTCTCTCTCTCTCTCTCTCTCTCTAGATCTCTCTCTAATATGTGTGTGTTATACTTATATTGTGGGCAACAATCTAATCTGGTGGCAGCTGTTGAGAAGCTTCTTCCTCTTTATCTCTCTAATAATTTTGACTTGGTGTGGCTTTTTAGTCTTTTTATTGACAGAAATTTTGTTGATTAATTAACCAAAAGTCATTACCACCTAAGTCAAAAGGGACAGGCTTAATTAATTAATTAACTAGACTAATCACTTGATTACTTTGTCAAGGTCTTCGTTGAACAGGTAAAATTTTGGAAGTTTAATTCAGTTTCCACCAGAATCGATCACACTGAAAATATTGCTATGTTATATCTAGATCTTACTTATATTTCAAGATTCTAATTAATCAGCTCTAATTAGGGAAATGAGATCAATTAGAAACTTAAATTAAATCTACCTGCAAAACCTTCCGTACATTTTACAGCTAGTTAATTATATTATATTTATTCGACTAATTATAAATTGATGAGCACATCCACTTGGCAAAAAAAGTCGTACCCATTAACATATATTCCTTACATTTACTGTTTGTAATTGGCTCCTAGCAAGAAAATGTGAATGAGCCAAAAACAAATTATATAATTTATTTGAATTGATTACTTAGATGGTGGGGTTGATTAATTAAAGTAACTTAACACAGATCAATTGTAAGTAACATAATTATTTAGGGCTTGGTCGTCCTATAAACATAAAGATTAATCAAGGTGATCAAGCCCCACATTGTGCAGCATAAATTAAACACAAAATATATAAGAAATTAAAGCCACTTGCAGCTGGATTATATACTCAATATTTATATTTAATATAAATATATATATATATATAATAACAGAAAATAGTAAAGAAATGATGAGTAATTATTATTGACTGATCCTGGTTCTGTACTGTTTATAGGTAGGATTTAGGAACTGATGACCAATCGATGAGAATGATCATTTTTTTTAATGACAAGTCATATTATACTTAGATTTCAGGCAGCAGCTACTAATTCATTTATTTGACTTGTCAATACTTTTTTCTTTTTTTTTTTGTAAATCCTTTTTTGAATTGTCACAGCCAAATATTTTAACTAGTCGGTCTTTATACGTTGTAAAATATAATAGCACCTCCAAAAGTAGGGTTTTTCAATGGCTAATTTATGTCCCGTGTCAATTAGGTTATTGGGATCTATATATGTATTATAAGAGTGACTTTTTCAGTACTAATTAAATTAATTATATATAGCTATGTTATTAGGACAACTTTGTAACATTTCAATTTTCCATGCATCCTCAAAAGATTAACCGCACTTCAAAAAGTTAATTAGCTACGTACTACTATATACATATAAATGAACAGAATTAAACCATAGCTACTTTTAAAGATGAGATTATCTTGGGAGCTCAATATTGAAGTTTCGGCTTATAAAATTACATTCCCATTAGCAAAAAGTTCACTAATTATTTATATATATTATTTAATGAAATTAAAAGTTGACTTTAATGGCTAATTTTGATAGTAGATTGTGCAATAATTACTTGAAGTTGTAGTCCCTACTTCCGTTCTTGCTATATTTTAAGTGACATGCATGCATGGCTACGCATATAATAAGTACCATTGTCACTTAAATTAATGTATTATGTGAACACGTAAGACTATATGGACACGTAGGTGTGTGTGTGTGTGGGTGGGTGGGGTGGGGTGGGGGTGTCGGGGGTTTGTAGTAAGACCCATTAATCATGAGAAAATACGACTTGCGCTAAAATAATACAATATTTAAGTATACATGCTATAATTAATTAATTAAGTCCTCAATTTGTCTTCACTTGTGAGACATCGAATCTCTTGGTCTTTATTTTTTAAACATGAAAACTTGTTCATAATTATTGCATGTAGTAGTATATGGAGTATATCCAATAAATTAATGGGCAAATGGAGACAAGTGTCCTCATCTATAATATATGGAAGACGTTTGGCTAATGATGATATGCTAATTAATTTTTTCCTCTTAAGTAATTAACTAATTAATATATTTTTTTAATGAAGGAACCAATTAATCGTGAATAATACTAGGCTAGCCTAACTATGTACGAATAATTCGACTTATTAATCGTTGGTAAGAGAAATCAAACTCGAGATCAATTTCTACGGAATCACTTGCTCCAACTCTTTGGTCAACTTTTCAAGACAAATTAATATTTCTAAAAACACTAATAGAGGTGTGTTTGTATATGTATACATATACAATGTGTAAATATATAAAATAGTTGGATTAACATGTCATTAATCATTGGGAAGGAGCACAACGAAAAGATTGGTGTTGACCAACATTAGTATTTCACATCACATTGTAAAAAAATATCATAAATATTGGTTTTTTTAATTTATAATACGTTAATATTGAAAAATACTAATAAAAATGTAACAATAAATACAAATAGGAAAAAACAAAATCATGGCTGCCAAGATATGATAGTTATAGAAAGTCAAAATGATGGAACATGATCACGTCAGATGTTGCGTGTTGTGCATGCGCGTGTGTGCGCGAGGGCAAATAGTGTTGGCGTTCTGTGGTCCCCACAGTGGCTAGATGGTCGAAACGTGTGGCTCTGCTCACCGGGAAATGGTTCCACAATTATTTGAACCTTGGCTAAATTCGAGGCGGCTACGCGATCCTTCAGTTGCGTGCTTGCCACTTGCCATTCGTGTGTTCCACATAATAATCTTTTTTTGTAATTTCAATTTGAAGGATAATTGTTTTAAATTTCGCAATTGTGCAATTACTAGTTAGTCCCCTTATTACTGATCAGTAATAAGGCCCCGTTTGGTTGCCAAGATAAGCCATGATTAACTAAATAGTTGGACTTAATTTGATGTTTGCTATCCTCAATAACTTGCCGGGTCGACCCGCCAAAATTAAATAATCATGGCTTATCTTGCCTTATCTTGGCTTATCTTGTCTCTTAATGAGTTTTTTTGTTGGACCTTTCAAGCCCCAATAAAATAATTGGGTCTCATTAGATTATTTAATCTTATCTTGACTAATCTTATCTTGCCAACCAAACGGGGCCTTAAAATACATCCGAAATTAAAATCAAAACGGGAAGACCAATGCAATTCTAACACGTGTGTGTCCATTAGCTGTCCTGCACTTTTGGCTGCATTATTAATTAATTAATTGTACGAATATAAAGACAGAGTTGCTTAATTGCTTTACCTGGTAATATGATCAGAGGCAATTATATTATCATGGATTTTTCCTCCGAATAGTGTAATATTTTATCAATCACATCAACATCAATCCGTTTCATGATAGATAAGTCCGATTTGGTTGGTGGATATCGATATCATCTTGTTTGGTTTTGAATATCAAACTCCCATGCACTGTCACCGGGTCGGGTTTCGGTTCTCGGATCCTACAAATGACACGCCCTAGCCGAAAGGCTTTTATTTCTGTTTAGCCCAATAATAGTTTGTACATGCCCAAGGAACTAATTAAATTAAGTCCACTTTTTTTTTTTTTGATAAATAAATTAAGTCCACTTTGCTTCTTATGCTATGACCTCATTTAACATATTTAATTCTTGTTTGTTATGAATCAATCGTGGTTATATTTCGCAAAATCAAGCTCATAAACACACACAATTTCACACATGGTATCACATCGATCAAATGCACAAACTAAAAAAATAAAGAAGGTGAATAACACAACAAGTTTTACGAGATTCGAACTCAATGAAGGGTATACGCCTCGAGAACAATACACTACAATCCACTAGATCCAAAGATTACAAATTAATAAATACGTGATGAGTTCAAAACTAGCTCATAAGACCCTAACCCCCTCACGAGTGTTTTCAGTATTCTTTAATTCCTCTCTAATAATGTTTCTCGCTTGTCTTGCACCTCAAGAAGAAGGTTACTATATATAGTACTGCTCTAAGGCACATGATCCCATTTGCACTACATATCTATAAATTAACGAATAAGATTAGCTGCTTTCCTTCCAAGTAACGCGCGAACTTTAGATAACAACCTCCATGTACTCATGTGCACAACTGCATGTGCATACTGCATGCACTTAAACCTCTAGTGCATTAGGTGTAAAATTCAACAATTAAAACCATAGTTTTTTAATCCCTAAGTGAGTAAAATTAATGATTTTATGATTTGAATTCAATTCAATTCTAGTAAACGATAGTCCAACGCAACACCTTGCCCCATTTTGGGAATATTTGTTTTGAAAACAAAAACACAAAAAGAAAATAATGATTGTATATTGACCAGCAATGTAATCCTATTAGAAAATATTGGATAACTGGGATTATGAGAGAAAAAAAAATTAATTGTTACTTTTTATTTAAGTGAATAATTTATTATAGTAAAAATAAAATTGGGTGTCCTCAAAAAATAAAAAAATGGGTCAATACCGAAGAAGAAGAGAAGTGAATTCTGAAATTCTTATCAAGGGACAAAATACCCGGCCCGTGAGGGCTGGTGCATATCCCACACTAAGAACCCGGCCTATTAAGAAACGGGCCAAATCAGCCCACATAAAAAAATAAAAAGGAATTAAAGAGAGTGAATATTCAAATCAAGTGACACGTGTCACATTCTCCCCAAAAGCAGAAATCAGCCAGGCTGAGTAAGCAGAAATTCATTCACATTAACCGTTATTTCCTTGGAATGAATCTGCTAGATTTACACCACTTTCTTTGCAACGCCGGCGATGGACACTTTCCTCTTCACATCGGAATCAGTCACCGAAGGTCATCCCGACAAGGTTTGCGACCAAATCTCCGACGCAATTTTAGACGCCTGCTTGGATCAAGACACCGAGAGCAAAGTCGACTGCGAGACATGCACTAAATCAAACACGATCACAATCTTAGGCGAAATCACCACCAAGGCCACCATAGATTACGACAACATCGTCCGCCGGACGTGCAGGCAAATCGGCCTGAGCGCCGACGAATGCAGAATCATCGTCAACGTCGAGCAGCAGAGCGCCGACATAGCCGAGACCGTACACGGCCACCTCAGCAAAAAGCCCGAAGAAATCGGAGCAGGTGACCAGGGCCACATGTTCGGCTACGCCACCGACGAAACGCCGGAGTTGATGCCTCTGTCGCATCTTCTCGCAACTAAATTAGCAGCTAAATTGAGCGAGGTTCGGAAAAACGGAACTTGTCCGTGGCTGCGGCCGCACGGTAAGACGGAAGTGATTATCGAGTATAGAAGGGACGGCGGTGCAGTGGTCCCGATCAGAGCGCACACGATTCTAATCTCCACCAAACACGATCCGACGGTTGAAAACGATCGTATGGCGATGGAATTGAAGGAGCACGTGATCAAGCACGTGGTTCCTCCGAAGTATCTGGATGAAAAGACGGTTTTGCGCTTTGACGATCCGTTGACCGGGGGGGACCACGAGGATGACGTGGGGCTGACGGGGAGGAAGATCATCGTCGACACGTACGGCGGGTGGGGGGCGCACGGGGGAGGGGCGTTTTCAGGGAAGGATGCGTCGAAGGTGCATAGGAGTGGGGCGTACATTGCTAGACAGGTGGCGAAGAGCGTGGTGGCGGCGGGGCTAGCGCGGCGGTGTGTGGTGCAGGTGTCGTATGCGATTGGGATAGTGGAGCCGTTGTCGGTGTTTGTGGATAGTTACGGAACGGGGAAGGTGGCTGACAGGGATTTATTGGAGGTGATTAAGACGGAATTTGATTTCCGGCCGGGGATAATTGCGGTGGATTTGGATCTGAAAAGAGGTGGCGATTTCAGGTATCAGAAGACTGCTGCTTATGGGCATTTTGGAAGAGATGATCCTGATTTTACTTGGGAAAATGTTAAACCTCTTGTTGCTAATTAATCCTACTTCATAATTAGTATATGAAGACACCTTCTTCTTCTTTTTTTTTTTTTTTTTTTTTTTTTTTTTTTTTTTGTATTACTTAATTTAATGCTTTTGTGTAAATGAAAAAGAATCATTATAATTCGAAAATATATTACTTAATTAGTTAATTTATCCGTAGACGTGATTAATTATAAAGGGGCAAATTACGACAAGTCACAGGAGGTAAGGTAAAATCACACAAAATCCTTCGTATTTGAATAATTACAATCATTTCTCAATTATGAATTTTTTTATACGTGTACACTTGTAGTAATAAATGTAGTGATTTTTTTTAGATTTTGTAAATTGTTCTCTAACCTGTACCCATTTTACCGCTATTCAAGCTCTATTTTGAACAAGATGTGATTTAAGATGTGTTTTTTGACTTGTAATTTGTAAATATCAAATTGTGGTACATAGTTAACTGTCTTTTTGTACAAAATAAGTACAAAACAAATAAAATTTCTCGAAATATAGAAAATTCTGTTGAATTTATACCATAAGGATGAACATGTAACAAGATTCATATTTGTATTGGTTATAATTACCCAAACATAAGAGAATTTTTCGCAATTTGATCTTACTTCAGGAGTGGCAATAATTTAACCTAGTTATAAATGTACCATTTGTTAAAGGCTGTTAATTAATATATTTCACTAGATTAGGAAATTATTAATTTAACACATCCTCCCCAACGGTTTTATCTATCCTACACCCGGTGAAGGTTACACCGGGTAATTTTTTACCGTTGATCTACACATACCAATGTGGGTGTGTGTGTGTTTGTGTGTATATGAATGGTAAAGATCTACCCGGTGTATTTCACCCGGTGTAGGATCTCAAAAGCCCTCCCCAACCAAAAAAAGAATCGAACTTTTTTCAATGGTAAATAAATATAGTGTGGTAAAAATGTAATAAATGAAAGTACAATGGACAAAATTGAAATATAAGAAAGTTTGTTAACTTTCGCACAGTTGAAAACCAAGCCAGCGAATTACGACGCCATAAACCAGCAGCAGACCAGAAAAAAAGGGAGGGCTCCAATGGAAATTGATAAACCCACAACAATTATATGCACAGTGGTGGCAGTTGATCACGCCAATAGTATCTATTACAGAGTTTGCTCTGTCTGCGAAAAAACTCTCCCCGAAAACCCCACAATTCCTTGCAAATTCTGCAACTTCAACAATAGATTCAATCCCAGCACTTCCGGCTCCAAACGCCTCTTTCGTGTTCTTGTAAGTATTTTTTATTCTCAAATTATTCATTGTTAGGCGATTGATTGTTTGAATATATTTAATTTTAATTTTTGTAATTTGCAGATATCTATAGCTACAGATACAAAGGTGTTTGTGGTGATAATGTTTGATAGGGCTGCCAAAGTGTTGTTTGGTTGCTCCGCCGATGAGTTCTTTGACTTTGCCAAGACTCATCCTTATGCTGGTATGATTTTTTATTTTTTTATTTTTTTATATATATAACATGTTAAATGTTTTTTTTTTACTCAATTTAATTGTTTAAAAATATATGTATGATAATACAGCAATGGCAGCTGGTAGGGCATTGGAGGGAGAGATGTTGAATGTGACAATATCAAAACCCAAAAATGGCAATGCTCAGCATATGCGAGTGGTTTCAGTTGTGCCGCTGCGGTCTGGTTTTCAGCCTGCTATCGAGACCTTGAGAGAATTGTATCGAGTAAGAGGGCCTTCATAACAATCTTAATCTTGCTCGATTTATTTATGAATGCAGTTGCTAATATATCAATAGCTTATAGTCATAGCAGAAACGATCCAGGGAACGATTAGCAAGTCTCGATAACTTATATTACAACTCTTGAATTATTTATTGCATTTTCTAGAATTTTCTTCTCATTGATGTTGCTTTGCTTCGTAGTTCTCGATACCAAGTGACCTCTCATAGCGACTTGCCTTTCATCCACCTTGTTAACATCTCCAACGAAGCTTTTGGCTGATCCATCGGAACCATGTGACCGGCATTAAATACTTTGAGAAAAGTAAGAGAACCGTAGTTTTTCTTGATTCCAACCTTCACACCGTCCACCACAAATGGATTTGATGGAGCTAATTCGAAATTCTTCCGACCATACCACCCCATTGCAGTAACCCATCTCAAGTTCCCTTAACCATGGTTAGATCGAATTACTAATGAACTAGTTTTTGATAATGCTGTCTTAATCTCAGTTCAAAAGGGATCAAGAATTCTTACCAAGCCAGTTGCACAGAAGATCATACTCCCCTGCATATACGAGTACTTTGACTCCATCCAATAGTAATGCCGGAATACGGTCACCAAAGCTCTTCATCAAGTCCTTAGCCATTATATTGTGCACCGCCGCACTACACGGCACGAATTGCGTATTTCCTGCACCGAGAGCTTTTCTGACGCCTACTTGGTTTAGGAATTTCACCATGTTTGAGTAGTCGTAGCATAGAGGTCCTTCGCATTTTTTTCTAATATCGTAGTACTGAAAGAAAAAAACAGGTGCAACATATTGTTACAAAATTTGATCACGACTTTCTGATATTTGTTACGAAATTCTGTTTTTATTACATTTATATTGCCACCAGCTTCACGAAGTATTTCCTTAATTATGCCGTTGCAGTATGTCACCGCTAATAGACAGCTTGATGAATCATTGCTGCCTGCCAAATAATTTTACTCAAAAACAACCTTCATTGGGGGTGGGGGGAGGGGGGGTAGATTTGGAATTACCACAGAGTTTTATTTGCTTCTGGCATGGAGGGAATGAGTTAACGAGGCGGTGGTAAGACAAATTATTGATCAATTTCATGTCTAAAGCATAATCGGGGAAAGCTCTGAACTGTATCTCTGGCTCTGTCATTCCATTGCCAATAGCTAATCCCTGCTTAATAAAACATCATAATAATAAATAAAGAAGTTATATATATATATATATATATATATATATATATATATATAGATGAAGCTTGCTTTGATGTTTATGTAAGTGGATTTCTTGTTTTTGTTGGCCTGGTGAATTCGAGCAGAAAAAGCTGGAATGTAGTGTCCCGCATATGATTCTCCCGTCATATAAAACTTGTTCTTTGCATATCGAGGGTGCTTTTTGAAGAACGCCTACAAAAATTGCATGATTATTTGTCAATTTTATATATTTTTTTTTCTGGCCGTATTTTAACTTCACGATATTGTAACAGACCTGAAGGAAGTCGTAAAAATCTATGCTTGCTGCCTCTGTGCTCTCGCGGAAGTCTCCGTTGTAAGAAGTATCACTGAATCCTGTTCCGATTGGCTGATCCACATATATGAGGTTCGAAACCTACATGATTTTATGTTTTGCTTTTTTATAGAAATGTTTTATCAGATTTGAGTTTACGGAAACTAGAAATCGAATAAGTACCTTGTCCCAGCCAAAATTATTCCATATAAGTGACAAATTGTTTGTCAATCGAAAAGGGCCATTTGCATAAAACAGAGCTAACGAACCACTGCACCCTGGCCCCCCACTTAACCACACAACGATAGGGTCGTTACTCTTGTTGTTCCTCGATTTAAAGAAAAAGTAAAACATCCTGCAAAAAAAAAAAAAAAAAAAAAACCACAATAAATTAAAAAGATTAATTTGCTCTTGAAAATCGTCTTAAATATATTATTCGGATAATTTGACCTTGCATTTTTAGCGTGTGGAAGTTTAAAATAGCCAGCATGGTGCGCGAGGTTCTTAACATTGGCACCTTTATCACTAAGAACGGGAAATCGAATACGTTTTTCTACGAGTTTTGGTTCATTAATCGAAGATTCTTCTTTAGAAAGCTCGGGAAATAAGTTCAACTCTCTGATAATTGTTTCTACTGTTGATGATGTGGGAAAATGGCCAGTTTTAGTGGTTTCTGCCTTTGAGAAAATGGAGAAATAGAAAATGACAAGTAGAGAAAGAAAGCCATGAGAGATTGATGGTTGCATTATTTAGGGCAATGGTTTTTCATCTGTGGATTTTTATTTTTTATTTTTTTATTTTCATTATATTGTTGGTTCTGAATTATTGCTTGTTAATCCTTCTTTAAGTTATAGGTAGTAGAAAGTGTAATAACAATTATGCCCTATGTGACTTACAAATCCTTACAGATTACAAAGCAATAAATATGCAGATTGGATTGTAAAGCTTTTCTTTTTTCCTTCTGGTAATATCTAAATGACCTTGCAAGTTAATATGAATAATAATATTTTTAACGGTCAATTGCAAATTAATAGTTGCTAATAATATTTATTTTGAATGTATTTTGTACGGAAATATATAAAAAGAATTTATATGTAAATAAAAACCTACATATGTTTATACAGCATATTTATAAATATACCCCCATACTTTTAGTATTTACACATTTCCCCTAACTTTCAATATCCTCATTTTTGGGACATGCCGTTTCCCCGTTTTGCCATTTCCGTATCTACACTTTAGTGTTACCACTCGGATAATTCAATTAAACTGAAGGAAATAATAAAAAAATAAACGGAGGATCCGCACACCAAAATCAAACATCATATGTTACATGTCAACACAAATACAAGGTTTTATGATACAAAACGTTCGCACAATGTATATTACTTACTACTCACTCTAAACCAGCAACTTGCAATAATTTACCAACACCGTAGAATGTAGATTTTATGCATGTTATATCCTCGTGTAGTGGATAACAATAATGAAAAAACAAAAAATAAAACGGAAGTTAAGATCGAACACTGGCAAGACGAGCCCTCATTTCTTCTAGCTCTTCCTCATCATCCGCATTCTCCTACAATATTCACAAATGTACTCTGCATTTTCAAGACAAGGGGGAAACACACACACACACACACAACCATAGAAGAATGAGAGCGACAAGTAAAAACAGATTACCTCAGCATCTTCGCTGGTACTAGTTTGCTTTAGTTTATGTTTCCTAATAGCTTCAGGAAGTTGTGCGGCTGTCTCACCGGCAATTGCTGTCAAGACCTTCTCGATTTCTTCTTCAGTCTCTTCTTCTATGTCTTCTGCATCCAGTGCATCATCCATAGCATCATTCATCATCTCTTCAATTAAACCTGCCTGCAATTTCAATTAAATTACCACATGTTCCTACCAAAAGTCATAGTCAGAGTCTCTGTTATTTTATCTCCTTTTCGTCCTTTTTTTGTTCAACCGGCACAAAATTAGGATTCTTTCACTACCAAGAAACTATATCAAACCATCATTTCCATGACACAACCAAAATCATTGATGTTAAGAAAAGCCTCTAAATTCGTATATTAAACTCTGTATTTACCAGAAAGACACAAAATTACCTTCGTCATTTCTTTACTGAACTGTTGCATGGTGACAGCTATTTCTGGGGCCTTGAGAAGATTATTGACAATTTTCATTACTTCAGCACTTTTAGACAGATGTCCTATAGTTCGAGCAACAGCTGCAAAAAAATGAAAACCAACAGTATTACGCCGTTTCCTCTTAGACTTATTACACAATGAATCATATCTGAAACTCCTAATGAGCACTAGCTTCTACAATTTGCAGTTATTGAGAATCCTCAAATTTAAATCAAACACTGTCAAGGAGAATATAGAATCGCTAGTGATCATCATAAATTAAAAATCCACGTATTACATTTACATGCAAGAGTAAAGACAAGAGTAAAATGAACCGGAAAGTACCAACGCTTTCTCCAAGATGCATCGATACTGAATTCAATTGTGCCTTGTTTTCATTCAGCCGCTCCACTGTTTTCCTAGATCTCACAATTTCTTTAGCCAGTGACTGTCAGGGCAAATCATCAAATCAGCATAAAATTTATTTACCATATTTTTAAATAAACAGTCTATTCAGTTTTTCAGGCACTTCGAATGGAATAAAACAAAACAATCTCGAAAATTTTTAGAAGAACAGATTTCTTTCATTGTTTGGGTAGTATCAAAACTGTGCAGCAACATGCTTGATTCTGTATCTCGCTGAGCAGTAAGCTACTCATACAACACATGAACTGATTGCCGGTTTATTCATCTTAAACGAGCTAGACCCAGTGTCTAAATCATAAACGTCAAAAACAACTAAACTGATCCTATTGTACACAAGGAAGTTTCTCTCTCTTAACAGATAAACAATGCCTAAAATAGCTTAGGACAGTAGTCAAAAGAGGCAGCTTCAAATGCTGTTTCTCCAAATTTTCGTCGACTTCAAAATCACATGATTAGCAACTAGATATAGCGAGTAGCGATCTCGAAAGACGCACCACATTGTGCCATTTCTTATGGATAAAAAAAGTGAGTAAATATTTTTCGATATTACAGAAGAATGATACTTACAATCGTTCTTTTCAATTTCTGGTCGACTATGAGATTGATTAAAAACATCTGAATACCTATTGAAATATTCGGTAGTAAAAGAATATATTAAGTCATTCTATCCGGGACAAGGCGATCCGTCAACAATTAGATAATAAACTTCGAGACTCTAAAAAGAATCTACAGCAAAGGATCTACGAATCGAGCATCTGAACTTTTCCTACAGGTACGTAATCGATACCTGAGGAAGGTGAGTTGAAAAACATAATCCAAAGCCATTACCTCTCGATCAGACATGTATCGAGAACAATAAAAATAAATAAAATTAATAGATCTCCCAAACACCACAAGTCAGCGGTAATCATCAATCTATGTTTATCTAAAAAAAAATAGAAAATAAAATCAAACAAACAAACAAACATAGAGATAATCAGATTGAACTAAGTCATAATTACAGTGCCTTAGCAGAAACCATGTCGTTTCGTTTTGCAGCCTCTTTGATCGATTTATGCACATTCTTCTCTTCTCTCTGTATATCTATTGAAATCAACAAACAATTGTAAACCTAAATTTCAGTCAAAAAACAGTAATCTAAATCTAAAAGCAAATAAACACCAAAAATTACAATTTCAGGAAGAAAAGTTACAATATCAAAAAAACTATAGAAAATTGACCTCGGATTTGGCGGTCAACGTTGCGGCCTTCATTGCGGAGGCGACGCTGCCAATCCTTGAGTAGTTGCTGTGGATTGGGCTTCGGCTTCAATAAACTCTTCATTTTTTCCATTTCTTTTTTCTTGCAGAATCAGATTTCTCAGTTTCTGGTCTGGCAGTTGCGTGAGATTTCTGCTGAATTCGTCATAAAAGAATGTCAAATTGGGGGAGGAAAAAATGATTAGTTAGAAGAGCAGAGTCGTTGAATGTAATCTTTCGAAACTTCATTTTGACTCTGATCATCTGATGAATTGAAAATGATTTGCAGAACTAATGATCTGGTCCAATTAATAAATTTTATTCAATTTTGCAAGGCCTCGTTTAATTACCACCAGAGATGGGCCTAGCCCATGTTTACTAATCTCTAGCCCATGGCCCGAATATTATGGATTACAAATTATACAATCTTTTTCTTTTTTTTTTTTTTTTTTAATATGTTATATTTTATATTGGTTTCGGGTGTAAATGAGCCTAGCCAAATTATATTGGTTAAATGCACTTTGCGAGCTGAACTTAAGTCCGTTTTGCAATCTGAAAAAAATAAAAACAATTGGACGTTCTCACACGAACTCGTTATTTTGTGCATTATCGCCATACATTGCTCAAATTCAAGTCGAATTTAATAGTTAACATACATGATCTTGAATTTTGAATTCTTCTAGCAATATTTACATAAATAAAAGAATTGCTATTTTTACCAATACCTAATGTTTTCTTCTTCCAGGTAGCCCATACCCTTGCGTGGGGCATGGTCGGTTGCTTAAACTAATAACATACAGTAACTGTGAACTAGAGATAGTCTAAAATCTACAACTCATCACATCACAAATTAATTAATATTCTTCTTCTTCACATATTTATAACTCTTTGCCCAACAATATATATATTATTTTTGACTTTTTTTAAGGCATTTATGAGTTTTTTTTCTCATATAGAGCTAGGGTCAAAAGATCTCAGTCTGCACATAAATTTTTAAGTACAAAAAAATTGAACCTCTTTTGGGATTTTAAGGTTGGGATTTTGTCCTACATCCTATTCATTAACACTGTTCCATTCGTCGGTAGGGTTCTCCTATATTTATATAAATATATATATATATTTGTATTAATAATTAAGCAATGGCCACCTAACCTACTATAATGTTCATGATATATTAATTAGTTTAAATTAATTTATTACTGGATAATTATATTAACCATTAATCTCATCACAGAAAAATGGAACCTTGTTTATGATTGATGTGAAAGTATGTCAAAAATGTCAAGATGTTGTATTCGTAGAGATTTAATAAAATCTTGATTTATTGGACAATATTAACATTTTCATAAGGCATGTTTTCTGGCGGCCTGATGCTGGAAGCCAAAATATAATTAATATGGTAAGACTTTGCTTAAACATATACTAATTATTTTTAATTTATATATGTAATTTCAACAAATAATTCCACTTATTAAGGGGGGGAAATTCGTTGGGGAGATTTTAATTTATAACTCATAAGCTAGAAAATTCCATGCGTTACATCAACAATTATAAATGTAAAAGAAATATAATTGAAAAATGCCGACAGATAGTAAAAATAGAGCCGAAATTGGTGGGCGGAGGGATTGGAAAGTGTCGGCAGAAAGGCCGAATAATGCAAATAGTAAATACGATCACGTAGGCCACAGTATGTACTTAACCCGATCGACAAAGTTGAATAAAACCCTTTTGTCTCTAAGTTTATTTTATAAGCTGTTGCTTGTGATAGAGAAGAAGAATATCATAATAAATTAATAATATATATTTTTTGTGCATCGATTTTGAAAGTTATTGCCCACCAAACTAATCATTTTAATTAATTATATTAATATTTATGATATAGTTCATTTCACTGCATCCGTACAACATATTATTGCATCAAACTTATAATTTGAGAGGTTGTGATCCCCATACTTGAAGGCTGAAGCTAATTTTTTACCCTATGAAATTTAATGTTTTTTTATTATTATTACAATTAATGTTTTTAGTGCTGGTTAAGTGTGTTCCATTTTAAGTTCCAAATTTTGTTTGATTATATAATTTTAGATGGTTCTTTTGCTTAGGGGTGTGAACGAGCCAAGCTCGCCTCTTTTGGCAGGCTCGAGCTCGAGTCTATTTTGTCGAGCTCGAGTCAAGCTCATTTTTTTAACTATTATTTTATTATTATTAAAATTATTTTCAATAAACTTACAAAATAAACAATAAATTGTAAATATATATATTAATATTTATATTTTATTTTTATTTATTTCTATAATATTTTATATTATTATACATTTTTTAAATAAAAAATAATAATAATAATAATAAATAAGGCTCGCGAGCCGGTTCGTGAGCTCACGAACAACTAAACTCTGGCTCGAGCTCGGCTCATCAGAGAGCTCGAGCTCGAAAACTCATCTCCAAGTTCGAGCTTTTTTGGAGCCGGCTCATCGAGCGCACGAGTCGGTTCGACTCGTTTACCACCCCTACTTTTGCTTACTTGAACTTATTTCAAATTAATGGATGCCAAATTTATTTTTTAATGTCGAAAATAAAACATATTTTAAATCGTAATAAACCGGTTGACTCTAAACAAAATAACAAAAAATGATGTGATCGAGTATGCATGTAAAAATTTAAAATTGTAATATTTGAAGAATCGAATCAATGAGGTGAGAACGTGAATCAAACCCTAATCATAACTTTGAACAACCATGATTTTATCATTTACTAGAAATTATCCCCGTGCATTCCTGTAAATCTATAAAGAAAAAAATTTATAATAAAAAAAAAATTACACATTAAGGGCTCGTTTGGTTACCGCTATAAGGTGCTACTGACTAAATAATAGAGGCTAATAACATGTCCGGTTGGTAAGATTCACACTTTTTCAAACCCGCTACTAAAATCAAAGCCCGCTATTAAATGCTACTATTTCATTAAATTAGTAGCACCCCTCCCCCTGAGATTAATTTAATAGGGGGTGACTAAAAAGGAAAAATACAATTTTATCCTTAAAATTATATTTTATTATTGTAAACTAAGTGGTTTTATAGACAATTCATATATAATAACTGATTTTAACAAATTTAGTAGAAAATATAATCTAAGAAACCGAACATGCTACTAACTAAATAATTAATTAGTCAGTAGGGAGTTAATCCAATCTCATGTAATCCAATCTAATCCAATATAGGTAACCGAACGAGCCCTAATAAAATTATTTAGTCGTGAATGTAATCACCAGTGCTTAATTGAAAATTATAGAGAAACAAAATTACAAAAATAACGTTAAAGTTACCCCTGGTTGCTAGTCGTTTGTTCCTTTTATATATAACAAAGATTCGAATACAACTATATATAAAATGGAAAATCTTCAAAAATAATATACATTAAAAAAAAAAGTACAACGAGATAATCCAAAAGGAGAAATATATTCATTATTAGGGGAGATTGACTATGCATAAATCTTAGTATTGCTCGACGACATTGTTATGAATCAAAAAAATATTTTATATTTGGAAGTGCTTGCGGGTGTTACATCATTTTGGACTTACCATACTTAAAAATTAAATAAAATAAATAGAAAATGGTATACCCAAGTATTCTTTTCTGTAGGTGAGTCGACTTATTGAGGCTGCTCATAATTGAAGTCAATGGCAGAAAATTAAATGTGTTCTATTTTAACAAATTCAAGAAAGTGTGCTCCTACCACTTCTCAACAAGTTTTTATATAATCAATATTCAATATTAGATCTTTAATTTGTTGACATTTTCCCAGTTTCATTCTACTGTAACTGGTTGACATATGTAACAAAATTTAATTTCTATATAATATGTGTGTTTTTCTAAATTTATAATTAATTATTGCAGCCAAAATATGAGAAAAGACCAATGCCATAAACGAAATGACACTATTCTAACATGTTCATGTACCCGTAATTAATAATCAAAGACTGACAATCTCTTATCATTTCAATTTTCAACTGCATTCATTCATTAATTGTAATATTTTCGATATATTGATAATTAAATGTGACGACACAATAAAAATGGATAGAAGAATGATATGGGTAACTGATTTTCTAGACCTGAAACGAGGATATGTGTCGTCTTTCGCAGAAAACACACGACACTGGTAACATGTTTCCCATACTTCAAATTTCTATATGACAAGTCCTATACTTTATGTAAGGTCACAACCCCAATTAATTCACATTTCATCTACACCATTTCAAAATGTCACAAATTATTGAATTGGTTAATATAAAGTTTTTCTTTTATTTCGATAATTGATTAGTGGGTATAATGTGGTATAGTTCAGTTGATAATTCGTCTAATTTGAAAAAAATATAACGAAAGAAAAATAAAATCATATTTGTTGAATATCATTACTTGGTGGGGGTTGCTAATTATTCATCTTTCATTTGGCCTCTTTTATTATTATTTTTTTTTGTAACTTACCAAAATGTAACAAAGCCTACTAGGCAAATACTGTATGCTTGTCATTGAAGAAGCCCGGGAAATTAAGGACAAGACTTAGCTTACGTTGTACAATCTGATATTTATATTATTTAATGTAGCTGATATTGTCAATGAATAACTAATCAAGTTATTTAATTTTATTCTCTCTAAAATATTTAATAATTAATACTAGCACACCTACTATCTGTACCCGGATTATAAATTGCAATAAGTCAAGAATACTATATACAAATTGAATTAATACTAGCCCATTTCTTGTCATTCATTAATTTCAAACTGCAACTTGTTATAAGTGGTTTCTAACACTATTTTTTTTTTACCTAAACCGAGCAAATTAATTAATATTCGTGTATCAATTAGCTTATAACAGATAACTAATTAATCTTCCTTCTTTTCAGAATGAAAGAGTAGTAGTGTTAACCTGGTACATTAATATGGCTTAGGGTTTAATTAAGAAAGTTGAAGTACACTTATGTTTTATTAATTACTGGAACTTTACATGTGAAAAATTCTCCAGATTTGTTCATTTATTGCCCATGACCACCAAACTAATATACATGCATGCATACATACACATAAACATACATACATATATATATATATATATATATATATATATATATATATATATATATATATATATATATATATATATGACCAACGACTTTTCTCAAGTTAAATATTAATCTCGAGCAATTTCCAAATTGAGCAACCCTAACCAACAAGCCACCTATTTCATTAAAGAAAAACAATAACATTAAATTAAACCGCAAATAAAGAAAACATGATCACAATATAATACATACACTGTTCATTTTCTTGTTCTTCCTCTTCTTTTGTCTTCACACTGACCTCCTTATCACACACTATATAATATAAATATATATTTTTCAGGTGGGACCCACCCCATTTATCTTCTTATTTATACCCCCCTTACATTTCCATACAATACACAATCATTGCAGCAAATTAAACAATAACACCATTCATCATCTCCACACAGCACACAGTATACAGCAGATAGCTATACTGTACTACATACTGTTTCTTTTACATACATATATATATAGATATATCAGACAAACATGGCTCTCCATTTTTCTCTGATATTCATAATTTTCTTGTTCCCTTTGAGGAGTAATGCTCAGGGGGGCCCACCATCTCCAGGCTACAACCCCAGTTCCAGAATTGGCTCAATAGGGTTCAACCAGGGTTACAGAAATCTTTGGGGTCCTCAGCATCAACGAGTTGACCAGGGTGCACTCACTATTTGGCTCGACCGAAGCTCAGGTACTATTATTATATTATATTATATTATATTACATTCTTGCATATTGCATTTTGTCCTAACGTAATTTTACCGACGATGCAGGAAGTGGATTCAAATCGCTGAACCCGTATTCGTCGGGTTATTTTGGGGCTGCTATCAAGCTCCAATCTGGTTATACTGCCGGAGTTATTACATCTCTCTATGTAAGAGAACTTAATTAATCCACGTTATATTATTAATGTGTACTAAAAAATATATTTATTAGTTTTTTTTTTTTTTTTTCAAAAATGGCAGCTTTCGAACAACGAAGCGCACCCAGGTAACCACGACGAGATAGATATCGAATTTCTCGGCACGACAGTGGGCAAACCCTACGTGCTCCAAACAAACGTTTACGTGAGAGGAAGCGGTGACGGTAATATTATCGGCCGTGAAATGCAGATTCACCTTTGGTTCGACCCCACTAAAGATTTTCACAATTATGCCATCCTCTGGAACCCTACCGAAATTATGTCAGTTTTCTTATTAAATATAATATTAATTTTTTAAACTGTTAGTGAAACGTATCATTTAATATTAATATTTCCAACGCATAAATTAATTAATATTACTGGTGCAGATTTTTTGTGGATGACGTGCCAATAAGAAGGTACGCGAGGAAAAGCGATGCCACGTTCCCGTTGCGGCCGATGTGGGCATACGGTTCGATATGGGATGCGTCCACGTGGGCAACCGAGAATGGCAAGTACAAAGCCGACTACAATCACCAGCCATTTTACGGAAGGTACAACAATTTCAAGTTAAGCGGTTGCAATGCTAACGGCCGCTCCGCCTGCCGCCCGGCTACCGGTTCTCCGACCGGCTCCACGGGGCTGAGCCGGCAGCAGTACGCTGCCATGGCTTGGGTCCAGAGGAACTACCAGTTCTATGATTACTGTCGGGATTCGCAGCGGGACCATAGGCTCACGCCCGAGTGCTGAGGGCACGCAATATAATATTTCATAAATTATGGACCATATATTTACTATTTTCTTAGTGTTGCATACTTTATACAATTTGTTTGGGAGTGTCTTGAGATGGGCCCACCACTTGCCAATCAATCGGTGAATGCAAAGCGTCCAAGCCTCCGAATATTTAATTTGTCCACTGTTATTGAATTTGTCAGTGTGCTGTGAGAGTGTGTGTGTGTGTAATAAATTTGTGAAGTGTGTATGATTTGAAGGTGAGATGAGATGAAAGAAATATGTGTAATTTTTACACTGGTGTGTTTCCATATATTTTTCAATAAATTTAGTTTATTTTCATATTTAATCTTTTGACTAACTAATTATATATATATATATTTTTTTTAATATATTTCAACGGAAGTGAACTTAAGATAGATTCTATAGAGATGGATATATGAGCATTATTTATTGGTCCGCGCTCTGTTTTTTCACTTTTTAGACTAACGGATATTAGTTGACTTTGGGCTAAATTATTATTATTTTTTTTTGATAAAACCAATTAATTGCTTTTTTCAGTTATGCAATAATAATATATGGTAAATTACTTATGTTACGTCAAATTACGAAAAAATCTTTCATGTTTGGGTAATGCAACCACCTCCTTAACTATGAATTTTTTTACACGTCCTTACTTATGGTGTCAAATTTGACATAATTTACTTTGTTCACTAGTTTGTACTCGTTCTTTGCTATGATGCTGTACAATCTAATGTTTACAATCAAATAAACACATATTATGATCATCTTGTTTTAAAACGTGGAGCTCGAATGGGGTAAGATGGGTACAAACTAGATAATATTCTACATAATCTAGAAGATTTCACTAAATTTGACACCGTTATAGTAGACTGTAAGAAAATTGATAGTTGATGGATAGTTGTAATTACCCAAACATTCAGGGGTTTTTTAGTAATTTGACATTAGAATGAGAGCAGAAGAGGGGGCTTTTTCCATGCAGGCCTACAATCCTACATGAGAACAACAAGAGGAGATTTTTCAGAACGGAACAGGCAATAGCCCAGCCCGTTATGCGGCCCAATCTTGTTTTATTCTAGTGTTATGTACTGTATAATGATTAATGTATAATGTGGAAACTATTTTTTGCTGTCTCAATTTAACTAACTAGTATAATTAGTAAGTATGAAATTAATATAATTTAATTAAAATCAATAATTTAAAATAATTAACCCTCACCATATCATATACAAATTTGTGATTTTATTTCAAAATAATTTAAAATTTTGGAGAAACAAATACCACACTCGAAACTTCTAGTGGGCTTTCAGATTACTAAATGCAACACCTAAAATAAATTTTGATACATATTACTCCATACTAAATTTTAATTCTTTAATTTTTATTTACACATCCAAAAAAGTCCACAACTTCTCAATAATTTCCATCAAAAAAATATTTATTCCTTTTGCATTTACAGAATCTACAAATGACACAATTATTTACAAAAAATAGCAGATAGGCCCCAGCAAAACCCAAGAATACCCAATCACCACAGGCCAATCAGCAAAAGATCCAGAACCACGTGGCCCACCAATCAGAATGCAACCAATAATACATATTATATATTCCAGCTGTCTCCCACTAATCCAAATCCACGTAGATAAGCGATCAATCTTAGCTGGCAAGCCGTCACTTTTCATTTTCCGACGTGGAAAAAACATTTTTATCGGACGGCTTTTTGTGGGACCGGTCTAGCATCTGGGCGAGGGCTTTCAGGACCTGCCACGTGGCGTCCCCCTCCAAAATCGGGACGTCGAATAGTAAGGACTTTCTAACGGACGGGTCCCACAAGTTCCTCTGAATGGACGTGAGGTTGGTGGCTGCCACGTGTTCGAGAATATCACCGAGGCTGTCCACATCGTTCTCCGCCACGGTCAGTGATATCTCCGCCCAAGGCACGGCGGAGGGGAACGGCAGCCGGATCCCGTCCGCTATGATGACCGGAACGCACCCCAACGCCACGGATTCCACCAGCCGGGGGCTCCACGGGGCCCACCCCAATGGGCAGAGACAAAACTTTGACCGGGCTATCTCCGACTGGTAACCGGCGAATCTCTGCCTCCGCAGGTAGAATCTCCGGTCGTTGCCGTACTTCCGCCATAATTCCGTTCTCACCCGCCTGCAATAAAAATTAAGAAATTAATTAAGATAATTAATCCATGTTAAATGCGAGTCGATTGATTAATCCTTACTTGCTGTAGAAACGACCGCTGACATTTTTGGGGTGGAGTTCCATTTTACCCCTGAAGAAAGAGAAAATGTCACGGCGGCCGGTCATCGGGAACTTCTCCAGGGTGGCGCGAACACTTTCCGGCGGGATGTACGGCGGAATCACCACGTTCTCCACCTCCTGACATGGGTGCTTGTGTGTTACACCAAAAGTTTGCAGAACAATCGAATTTCGTAAGAATTCAGGCACTCCATCAGCAATCGCCACATCTTCCTACAATCAATCATTAAACAAAAAAAATAAATCAAATTTTACAAATCTAACGAACCCAAATATTAAATTCAAAAAAAAAAAAGAGTGAAAAAAAACTGCATATATACATACCAAAGTATGGAAGCAAGAACCAAAATCGTGAGAGGCGACGAAGACATGGTCGGCGCCACGGCTGCGGTTCCAGAACGGAAGCTGTGTAGACACATGGTCGACGGCGGCGGCGATTAACGGGCGGGCGTGGCCAATGGCGGGAAAGCCATTAACGGCGCTGAAATTGCAGGACACGTAGACAGGGACAAAGAAGAAGTCAGCCAACCAAGGGTCCAAAGTCCTCACTACATCGCTCCGCAACAAAGCCCTGTGAATAGCAACCTCCGACGCAAACAAATGGCTGCCGCACCGCTGGTTCGTCGACAGCCAGTCGGCGTTGTATTTTGACGGCAGGTCGTAAACATAAACCTTCATCCCCTTGAATAATACTCCATGGGAGGAGTTGACGAATGATTGTTCAATGAGAGCACGTGATGCTAATTTGGTACGGTAGACGGTGGTTCTTGATATTATAGAGGTGGAGGTGGGGTTGTTGAGGAAGGAGGAGAAGAAATAGAATGAAATGGAAAACCAGAGAATCCATTTGAAGTATCTGTAACAGAAGAAGAAGAAGCCGCCATTGTTGTCTGAACTCCTGTTGTTTCTTGTCCCATGCAAAAGCCTCCTCATTCTGATGATCACTTTGAATAGATCTTTTTGGTCACTTCACTTTCTCTCTCTTAAACCATTCTAGAGAGAGAGAGAGAGAGAGAGTGGTTGAAATGGGGCTTTCTGTATTTGGTATGTTGTTGGTGAAGTGGAGATTAAGAAAATAGGATGATGAGAATGGATTTGTTGGGAGTTCGTTTTTGCTTCAACAACAATAATAAAATAAAATTAATTTAATAATATAATCGATGGGGTTTTGTTTGGTGTTTTCAAGAAAATAGTATTTACTATACTCGTGACACAGAGTGATGAATTTGTGCAGAGAAACAGAGTAAAGGAGGAGGTGTGTTGCAGAAGGGTCACATTTTTTATGAATTAGACAGAGACCGCTATTTATCCCAATTTAATTTTTAATTTGGCAAATAAAACATTAAAATATATAATTATATATTTATCGATAAACATAAATATGGGTATATGGGTCAGCTTTTGATAATTGTTTGGAGTCTTGGGTTAATTGGCTTAAAGAAGCCAGCTTTATTTAACTTTGTCACGTACTTGTCTCTTGATCTCATTTCCTCATTTTTTTTAACGGTTAATATCATTAAATGACAGCTGTAAATTGTGATGGTTTTGAAGATGAAGTGTTAGCATATTGTAGAATTTAAAGCATCTGAAAATAGTAGAGAGATATCATAAATGTTAAATTTATTGGGAAGGGTAAAAGCAGGGATAAGGGAGTACGTCTGTATATATGTTTTTGGGACGTGTCATTTCACAAATTAAAATTTATTTTTATAAATCAGTTTTGTTATTAGTGGCGTAGCCATTACAGGATCAAAGGCTATGGGTGAAAGGCGGAACGTAAATTACAATTTTCGTCCGTTTCGATCGGAAAAATTCTAATTTCCGTACAACCTTTTTCATTATAATTTTGAAAATCCGATTTCCGAAAGTCTCCGATGTTATTGGATTGTGGTATGCCTAATTAGGTCAACCCAATGGGCTAACAATTTATTTACCTACTGGGCCTCGAGCCAAATATTGAAGACCATTATCATCGAGGCCCAATCACCTTCAAATAAGGTTTGAGTCCGACAATCTCAACTACGGTATAAATAAAAGTTTTAACTCATTCCTTAAGGTACGTCCTATTATCTGAGCAATACTACCAATTGTATTATCTGGACTATTTCCACTATCCACACGTCTGACTTGAGCGTCTGAGGGGTTTCCGCCGGATCAACACCCGGCTTAGTTCACGTGTTCTCTGTTCGCAAGTATCTCAAGGTCATCAAGCTCGTGAGCCAGTGATCCACTCTGCTCTTCCAGTTCATCCTACTTCAACTCTCTAATATGATCTATCTAAAGCATCATCAGATTGGAATTGAAATTTCCGATGGGATTTAATTTCCGAAAATTACGATTTTTCTTTTGTTTGAAGGAAGGGAAGCATTTCTCTGGCCAACTTTTCAAGTAGTGACATGGGCTAGTGGAGTGTCAAGTATATATGAGCCTGTGGCAAGATTTTACGAAGAAAACAACTTGGGCTTAATATATACAAAAATTAGTTGGGCTTTAGTTTGGGATTTGTATATCAATTATAAGACCGAATAGTTTATTGGACCAATAAATAGTACCAGGTGACTATTTAAGATTTTCTATTTGTTGATAATACTAGCCTTTTATTTTTTTTTATAGATATTATTATACATATATTGATCAGCCCCATTCCCACTTTATGCAATAAAAAAAAAAAAGTAAAAAAAAAATAAATAAATAAATAACCATTTGAGTAGACTATGGGAAGTGACATTTGCCATACTAGCTAGCCTTCACGGTTAATTCATTCTTGAATTGGAACAGAAAAGAAAACCGTGATCAGCTGGAATATTGGAATTTATTGTTTGATTTGCCAACTATTTTATATATAATAATAAAAATAATAATAATATATAATACTCACGGGTGTTTTTTGTAGCAAATTGGGCAGTTTTGTCAACAAAATTGGTTATATTAATCATTTCTATTTGCCCTTTCACATTGTGTATTTGTATCCTGTCATCATTTTCTTGAAAGTGATATTACAAGGCTTGATTCCGTAAGTACTTTATGCTAAATCATATTATGCTAGCAATCATTGTAGAAATTGTAACCTTTTTTAAAAAGAAAATTATGCCAATCTTGATTGGAAACTTTACGACTGGATCATTGCCATTTTTTTTTTATAAAAATTGAAAACTTGAGGAATTTTACTGAAATATAGAAATAACATGATATTTGAAATTTCTGAAAACAATCCAATACGGCCTAGGGGTCTAGTTGTGGGTCGGGTTTTTGGCGCGTGTGTGAATGTGGTATGTTTACTGGATTTTTCATTGGCTACATGCATGCATAATGCTCGTATTAGCCTCTTGCCAATAGTTGCTAGATCGAGTTTGTCACGCACGATTAGTATTAGTATAATGTGACTTTCGTTTCATGTAAGGTTTGCAAGCAGTTATATGAGATTGTAGATTTAGCTAGTGCACACGTATGATTGGTTTCGAGTTTCTTTCATTATTACGATATAACATATAACATATAATGCTAAAACTCTATGAACAAAAGAAAGCAGAACTTGGATTTTAGCTGCATGACAAATAAATTATTTAATTAGAATTAGTTTGTATTGCCCCTTTGGCATCACTATTATTATAATGTAAAGGTTCTTCAGACAAGTGGTCTGAGAAATAAACAAATCAAATTATATCATGTATAACAGTCAAAATGGTCATCAAAGCTGGTCCAACATGGCAGCATTATTGCCCCTAAAAAAATCCTTTTTTTCATCTAAAACTTAAGCGACTCTCGTTTGATTGTGCATTGATGCTGCTCAAACCAAGTAGCTCAAAATATGTAGAGAATATTGAGAGTCGATCCCCAGGGCTCAGAATCGTTCTCCGATCTACTGATTCCGCCTACATTTGCTAAACAATTGCCCTCCGATCCGACATCTAAGTCAAAAAATCGAGAATCAAAGTAAGAGCTAAAGACTTGTAACAAATCGAAAACCACGCGGACCTTTAAACAATGAATGAACTCTCTATTTAAGGGACCATTTGATGAGGCTGTCAAATTGGACTTCCATAAAGAAGAATGTATAGTTGGTCCCATAGATCTTAGCCCACTAAGGTAAATCAAATGGAAATGTCATAATTAATTCATCTAACAATTTTCTTGGGATTAAATTTGTTATAAGATCTAATTTATCCTTATCTTCGGTAATTGCATATATACATAATGGGACTTTAATAAAGTTATCGCAATCTTATCTTAACTAATCAAACCGTCGCTAAGAAGTTATCCATGATTCATGCATTGAAGCAAAAAATGGAAAAACCCAAAAAATGTGAACAAAGAAAGATGTTCCAATGGAATAGTTCACTATCCAAGTGATGGAATCATGACATCATCAATTCATCATCATCATCATCATGTGGTGGCTCAATATATATTTGGTGCACCACATGATGCGAGCAACCCCAGATTTCTGCATTCACAACTAACACATTTTCCCCTTATTTATATTTAAATAAATTATAATTGCTCAAAATTAATTTTAAAGAACAAAAAAAAAGTGTAAATAAATAAACAACCCTTTCCCCCCTCCCTGGAAAGTAACACAGAAGATTGGTTCATCACCAAATTAATTTTGTACCAATCTTCTGAACCCTACTTTCTCCAATCCCAATACAACCCAACCATAAATCTAACTAACCAATTTAATTCCCACTACTCTAAATCAAGAAAAATGGTAGAGGCAGCAAGAATCTCCGGCACCGGCGGAAGAAGGGGCGGCGACCTCCTCGCATTCGCCGCCCACGTACTCCGAGGCCGGTGGTTCTCCCTCTTCGCCTCCTTCCTCGTAATGGCCGGCGCCGGAGCTACTTACCTCTTCGGAGTTTACTCCAAGGACATCAAATCCTCCCTCGGTTACGACCAGACAACCCTCAACCTCCTCGGTTTCTTCAAGGACCTCGGCGCCAACGTCGGCGTGTTGTCGGGACTCATCGCCGAGGTAACTCCGACGTGGTTCGTCCTCCTAATCGGCTCCGCCATGAACTTCGCCGGCTACTTCATGATATGGCTCTCCGTCACCGGCAAGGTCTCAAAGCCCAGAGTCTGGCAAATGTGCCTGTACATCTGCATCGGAGCAAACTCCCAGAACTTCGCCAACACCGGCGCCCTCGTCACCTCCGTCAGAAACTTCCCGGAGAGCAGGGGAGTCATGCTCGGCCTGCTGAAGGGCTTCACCGGCCTGAGCGGCGCCATACTCACCCAGATCTACCTCGCCGTCTACGGCAACGATTCCAAAGCCTTGATTCTCCTCATCGCCTGGCTCCCGGCGGCGTTGTCTGTGGTTTTCGTCTACACAATTCGTGCGATGAAAGTTGTCAGGCAAGGGAACGAGCTCAAGATCTTCTACCAATTTCTCTACGTTTCGATCTTACTCGCCCTGTTTATCATGGCCATGACCGTACTTGAAAAAGTCACCGCCTTTTCGCCGGCGGCTTACGCAGCCAGCGCCACCGTCGTCTCCGCCTTGCTCTTCTTTCCTTTATTCATCGCCGTCAGAGAAGAATCCTCAATTTGGAGCATCAAGAAACAGCAACTCACTAACCCTCCTCAAATAATCACCATTGACGATAATAATAATAATAACAATCCAGCTCCAATGGAGGAGAAATCAAGAACTGCAACAACGACAACTCGTTGGTACGCAAAAATATTCGACAGGCCCGAAAGAGGAGAAGATTACACCATCTTACAAGCACTTTCCAGCACAGATATGCTGATTCTGTTTCTTGCAACGTTCTGCGGTTTGGGTTCGAGTTTAACGGCAGTTGACAATTTAGGACAAATCGGGGAGTCGTTAGAGTACCCCGTAAGGACGATCAAGACATTCGTTTCGCTTCTAAGCATATGGAATTACTTCGGGAGAATATTCTCGGGGTTCGTCTCCGAAAAGCTTCTCTCGAAATACAAATTCCCGAGGCCACTTATGATGACAATTGTCCTGTTTTTGTCCTGCATCGGCTTGCTTCTAATTGCGTTTCCGTTCCGTGGCTCGGTTTACATTGCATCCGTGATTATTGGGTTTTCGTTTGGAGCTCAATTGCCGTTGCTTTTCGCAATAATTTCCGAGCTTTTTGGGCTGAAATACTACTCCACGTTGTTCAATTGCGGGCAATTGGCAAGCCCGCTCGGTTCATATATACTGAATGTTAGAGTGACGGGCCCACTTTACGATAGGGAGGCGTTGAAGAATCTGGCGAAGAAGGGGTTGACTAGAGATTCGGTCAAGGAGTTGACTTGTGTTGGACCGCAGTGTTATCGGTTGGCGTTTGTGATATTGGCTTCGGTTACGTTTTTTGGAGCGGTTTCTTCGCTCATTTTAGTGGCGAGGACTCGAGAGTTTTATAGGGGTGACATTTATAAGAAGTTTAGGGATGAAGCTGAGGAAAGTAGTGAGAGGGAAATGGCTTCGACAGTCAATAAATGAATTTGTTTGGAGTATAGGGACCAATTGAGCAAATCAATGTCTTTTTTTCCGTTTTGCATTTTAAGTTTCTGCGAACTTGTGCAGAAATCGAAGGCGGAAGAGATGTAACGCCTTTGAAATCGAACTTGTGATCGTTCTTGTGTATAGTCTTTTACTGGATTTCAGACTTTCTCGGTGAAGTTGAATTCCTTCGTAATAAAAAAGATGTACATATTTTGTTCGGCAAGTTACGGTCAGGCTCATGAGATAAAGTCAAATTACGAAAAAAAAAACCCACTTCTGTTTGGTGTTATCTTCTGATTAATAAAGTAGATAGACAACAAAGATTTGATGTAATCCAGCAATCCTTATCTGAGTAGTGATGCTCCGGCCTTGTTTGATTTTGGATTTATATAAACTAGTAGTGATCCACAAGGAAACAAAATTCTATTTTAATTATGCCTATCCCCACGAGTAGGGTGAAAATTAGAACGAAATATTTGATTCCCGCCGATTTAATATGATTTTTCATTTACTTATTTATTTTAAAACAATATTTTTTATTCCAAATTTTGATAGTTATGAATTACAATTTTTCAATTTTTTTTATCAAGTTGAAAAATACATTAGATCATGATTTCTGATTCGATTTAAATTTTTGATTATATTATCGAAAAAATCTCACTTATAGTTTACATTATAAGTAACTAAACAAAATATAATCTTTGAATTCAAGTTCTCGATTTCAGAAAAAAATGGTTTCATTCCAATCTCCGAAATTTCGATTTTCGATTTCGTTTTTTCATTTTCATTCTTTTCATTTTCTACTTTTATTTTCTTTTCTGCACGTGGGAGATGGGGATTTAACAGCTTCTTTTTCCCCTCTTTTTTCTTGTTTGGTTCAAAATTTAAATTAGTATCAAACTTTTAAGGGTAAATTACAAACACCTTATGAGGTATGGTCAATTTACAAAAAAAAACCCTTTTGTTTGGATAATTACATCTACCCCTCAACTATAATTTTTTCTTACACCTCCATCCTTATGGTGTTAAATTCAACATAATCATCTAGATATTGTGAAATGTGCTCTAGTTTGTACTAGATTTGTGTAAAAATACAGTTTCTGATGCACCACAATCTGATAAATACAAGCCAAAAAACACATAGTATGATCATCTTGCTTCAAAATTTAGAGTTCGAATGTGATATAACAGGTACAAAAGTGATAATATTTCATAAAATCGCGAAGATTCCACTAAATTTGAGAAGTTGAGGGAATGATTGTAATTATCCAAACAAGGGGTCGTAATTTAACCATACCTCGGGTAGTTGTAATTTACCCAACTTTTAAATTGGGAATATCTGCATATATATGAGAGCCAATTATATTTTAATGATTATCCTCTTACAGCCCATGAATTTTCATTATATTTTAATCGCCAAACCAATTAGAAGTGGCTCCTAAAACTCATTCCGAGCCTATTCAAAAACTAGGTTCGGACACCCCGAACTGAAATCTAGGCTCGTAACTAAACCTACTCTTCGAACGCCTCGGTTCGGCAACCCGTTGGATCGTCCCCTCCAGAAATTCAAACCCCTTCTTTTGATAAATTTCATCTTTTGCTTTTCCTCCTTTTTCTTTTCCCTTCTTCAAATTTGAACCCTCTAATTTTCGCTCCCAACCATTCCCTCCCTCTCCTCTCTGCGCAAGCTTACTGTATCACTTCAACTAGATTCCTTCAACTTTCTCAATTCCATACTTTTCATGCTCAATTGATGCGATAAATAATTATTTAAACTTCAATCCTTGTACGTGTTTTTCTTCGATTTATTTTCCTGCAAAAACCCTTTCGATTCTTCAATTTCAACTGTGTATTTGCGTACGATGAAAGGGGATAAAATGGCAAAAAGATCCTCCTTTGGGAACATGGTGAGAAGGAGGCTTTCCGACATTACCAATTCTCTGCCGCAGAATAAATCTCCTGCTCCTCCTGAGAAAAACCCACGCGATGCAGTTTCTGCTAAGGAATTCATTGACCATCTCGTCAAGGTATGTGTAATCATAATTTTGTGCCCTAAATTCTATCGATTTCTCCAGCTGATCTGTTGTTGGTGTGTTTAATTGAACTCTGGAACAGGAGAAAATGGCCTTGGTGAAGCTTATTCAAGACAAAAAGTAATTAATTACATTAATTAAGCTCTGCATCTCATTGATTTTCACCGGTGTTTTTTCTAACGATGTTTTTAATTTCTGAATTTTTGTGGACAGCAAAATTATAGAGTTGAGTGGAATTGAAATTCAGAATTTGAGAAACTGTCTTCAGAAGATGCAGCTGCAAAACTGGAACCTTGCTCAATCAAACAGTCATATGTTAGCGGTCAGTCATCTGCCCCCCATCGCATCTTTTTTTTTCGGACGTGAATAAAATTAAGCAGTTGTACTGAAGTTCGATTTACGTCTTGTTTTTCAGGAGGTTAATTTGGGTAAAGAAAGGGTAAGGAAGCCTTGTGTGAATGGACTAACTGTCAATTGAGATTGAAAATTCGATTATATGTTGTTAATCGATCCGTTTCTTCACAGCTGAAAGCATTGCAGCACGAGGTAATTTGTAAAGAAGCCGTTCTTAAAACAAAGGATTTACAACTAAAGGTAAAGGTCATTCATCGTCTGTGATATAACTCAAACCGTTTATTCGAAATTCTCGGTTTAGTGTTGACTTGAATATTGTGGTTGAATTTACGCATGTGCCTGCTGGTTTGTTCAGGAAAACGAGAGAGTGAATGCCCATAAAGCTGAATTTCACGTATGTTAGCTTAATTTTTCGTTGTGGCTTCTGCTTTGTTCTGACTTGGAGAACACCGAAAACAACCATTTTTGTTTATTTTAATATGCTTACTAACTATTTATAAAACACTCTTGGTGTGAAGGAACCGGAAATAGTAACTAAGTCTTGCAATGCCAACAGGAGGAGTCGTCTGTCCAGAAGTCGATGTAAGTAAATATGTGACAATTTTTTTTTTCCAACTTTACGAACCCTGTTACTAATAAATAATCTTTATTGCTATACACAATATGCAGCTTTGGGCAATTCGACGATATCTCAACACCTTGCTGAAAAGGAAGCTGCTGTAGTAAGCAAGAGGTTGATCTTCTCATACTGTTCATACTAATCAAATGTTGCAAGTGTACAATGTTACTCATTCGTACACCTTTTCTTGTGCCTGAAAATGCTACCGTTTGTTTGGTTATATATTATATATCTAGGCGTTGTCTGAGAAGGCAATCTGCTAGTTCGAGAGTTAGACATGCGGAGGAAGCAAAGGAGAGTTTGTTTGAGATAGACGATGCCAAGTTTCCAGGCGATGATGTTGTGCCCTTAAACAGAAAAACAACACATGAAGTTGAATCAGTCGATATTAACTATGTGCCCGAAATGGAAGTTGAAGCACGAAGAACATCGATAGGCGGCAGACCGTTGCGCAGAGCAGTTGAAAAGGTCCAATGCTACAAGGAAAAACCTCTCAATCTCAAAATGAGGAGATCCGAGTGATCAACTATTTAGTCGAGGATTGTGATATTATGTTTATCTTATTTGCATTGCATGCACATTTTGTGCCAAGGAAAAACATTTATTTATTTATAATGTCCCGATTTTTGGTTGCTTTCTTAGACCTTGATTCTTTTGATGGCAGCTGCAAATACACGATGCGCGTTAACAATTTGAAATAATAAATTAACGTACATATATATTTAGTTGAGCTACATTTGCATTATATCGTCAACGCAGTTTTCAAGTCCTGGATAAAATGAAGATTAATCGATACGTTACTAAGTTGTGGCCTGGTGCATGTTAATCTGGGATTTTAACTGCCATTGTCTGAATCTAGGATAGATCAACAGCCAAAGAGAATTAAATACATTTGAAACTAGGAAAATCAAGAGTCATTTGAAACTCAGCACCTATATAAACAGATGCTCAAAGGTCAATGGATTCAAGTTATTATTACAGTTACAGAAAATTAAACAGGGAATTAATATGGCGGCAGAATTCTCAGTAAGCTTGAAACTCCTGATTGATACCAAATCCAAAAGAGTGTTGTTTGCCGAGGCAGGCAAAGATTGTGTCGATTTCCTGTTTTACATACTCTCTTTGCCTGTAGCTAATCTAATCAATCTTGTCGGAAAACAACAAATGGTGGGCTCTTTGGGGAACCTGTACGAGAGCTTAGAAAACCTAAACGAGTCTTACGTGCAAACGAAGAAGAACAAGGACGCCCTTCTAAAACCAGCAACTATTCGTCCAATTGGTGCAGTTTCTTCTTCTGTTCCTCCGCTGGCTCTAAAGGATGCACCTAATAACACTGCGAAGAAGTTCTACACATGCCTTTTAAAGTGTGATTATGTGACTGATGACTCGAAAACGCTTTGTCCAAAGTGTCTCCGCGCTATGAGCACGGTTGTTCCGTACGTGTCTCGTTCTTCCAAGAAAGAATCGTCGAGTAGTACTGAAGAAGGTGGATTTGTTAAAGGGGTGGTGACTTATATGGTGATGGATGACTTGGTGGTCAAGCCAATGTCTACTATCTCCAGTCTTACACTACTTAACAAATTTAATGTTAAGGAAGTTAGTGCATTGCAGGAAAAAGAGGTCAATCTGGGAATGGCTGAGGTATTTATATTTATATATCACCTTTTAAGACAATTTAGAATTCTTGAATATAGACATGATTGTAATTATTGTGGCTTATATATATATAGGCTGTGAAGTTATTGAAAGCTTCATTGGAGACGGACAAGGTTCTCACCGGTGTCTTCTTGAACAGGAAAAAGCGTGCCAGTGTCGGCTAGCTCGATCGCTCGTGAACTAGTTGATCGATCGAAGAAACTGTCCGAGGGATTAACGTAATTCCTCACAAGAATTACGTTAATTATGAGTTCCCATGCTTGTGGTTCGTTTTTGTTGTTGTCTTCTTATTTAAGTAGGGACTAATTCCGAAACTATTTATATTTTAAAGAAAAACTAGCTTTTTTAATTCCGAAATCGGTACAATAAATACAACTATATTATTATATATATATTGAGTAATATTATTAAGGATCTAATTATTATAAGAAGAATCGTTATGTGAATATTTCTATTTATTTTACATAACCCTTGGATCAACTCATATAAAACTTTTGTTAGAGATCCATACGCAGAATAATGAATTAATCATATATACACAAACATAACTTAGGAATGAATATAAACAAGAGGTAGTATTTCATTGCATGGAACTGTTATGCGGTTATAATCCAAAACGGCTTAGCCCCCCTTTCCCATTCCCATTCTGATCAGTCAATGAATCCAAGAATATGGCGACTCCAGTCAGAAACTAACTCCAAGTCAAGCCACGCAATTCAAGAAACACTTGGCCTCCTCATAGCATATATATATATATATACTGAATTAATCAAAAACACATGCACTGTCAACCAGTCAAAACAACACTTACTAGATCTCAGTTAAACCTTAGTTTCCTCTCACACCTAGTTTCAATCATACACAGAAGAAGGATTATATTTCAAGAAGAAAATGCAGAGAATTGTATTCATTTATCCCTGTGTTTCTAAGGACAGTACAAATAGGCAAGAAACATGGTTCGTCGGCACAGAATAGTCGGCTGTCGCGGACACTGCCGTTCCAGTTCCATTGCAACGTCGCGGTTCCGTCGCGGCCGGAAATGACTTTTTTTTTTAATTAAAATGCTAAAATATAATTTTTTTCAACGTCACGGCTGGTTCAAAGCTTTCAAGATTTTCTGTTTGAGAATCAGTCGGTAAATGTGACCCATATTGTCCTTATTCAGTTATTTGTAGTAAAGCATATTATGTGATGAATTAATTTCAAATTAAAATGATTATATTTAAGTAACAAAATATTGAAAGCAAAAAAAAGTTAAATAAAATTTTAATATTATATATATTCGAATTTTCTATATTTATTTATTATTTCTATTTTGATATTTATTTTCCATTTTTTAAGAATCAGTCTTTAAATTTATTTATTATTTTCTTTTAAAAAAATATGTATTATTGCTCAATTTTATTTATTATTTTCTTAAAAAAAATGTATTATTGCTATTTCCCTTTCGGTTAAATACATAAATTATAGTCATGTTTTTACTTATTGTTACTTACCCCTATTAATAGAGAATTAGAGGGTCTCATTATTCCAAAAAAATAGCTCTTAACTCCATAAAATAATAATAATAATTTAAACTCTTATTTTAATTTAAACTCTTTTTTTAATTTAAAAAATAATTTAGACTCTTCTACAAATTATGTCGTTCTCAATTTTCTCTTTTCTTTTTTTCAATTTTTTTCCGTCAAGTCAAGGGTCTCTTTCCCAATTTTCGTGTTTTTTTTTTTTTTTTTTTTCCCGTCAAGGGCCAGGCCGTTCCGGAGCTGTTCTGACCGTTTTGGTGCCGTTCCGGTGCCGTTCCGGTGCCGTTTCTCGGCTACGTCTCGCCCGTTTCGCCCGTCTCGATGGTCCGCCGCGTCAAAGGGGAGAAAACGGTTTTGTTAGGGATTCCGGAACGACGGGCACCGTTCCCATTTCGGAACGGCGGCGAACCCTGGCAAGAAACCAACAGTAAATATATGATTAAAAGTCAGCCATGTACGACTAAGGCTCCGTAGAGAGTCGCCGGAAAAAGCAGACAAATACGACGACAGATTGCTCTGAGAATTAAGTGTTCAGTGTTTAGTCATTTCACTACTGTAATTAAAAGGAGCATCTCCGACAACCTGTCTGCCTCAGCGTGTATTTGATTTGCGTATCTCTATTGAGTTTTATTTTTTAGTCATACAGATAATATTCTTAATTAGTCTTTATTTGTGAAATCTCGTGATTTGATTTGCGTATCTCGATCTTGATCTTTCATGATGAGCTGAACCAATCTACTTTTCCTCGTAAACGTACTCCATGCAGAGAAGAACCAGGTGCACGTGCCATGTTGGATACTTGAACAAGCAAAACCTTATCACTATACGTATATACATACATCGATCTGCGTGTAGTACCGAATCTAACCAATATTACTCAAGCCTCTATAAAATCAAACAGGATTATTGAACTCTTCCAAGTATTACAATTACAGAAGATATAGATTAAAAAAAAAAAAAAACATGGCGAAATCATCAGTAAGCATGAAACTCCTGATTGACAGCAAAGCCGGAAGGGTACTATTCGCGGAGGCAAGCAAAGATTGTGTGGATTTCCTGTTCTACATTCTCTCTTTGCCTGTGTCCAAGCTCATAAGTCTTGTCGGAAAGCAACAAATGGTGGGATCTCTGGGAAACCTGTACGAGAGCATAGAAAATCTGAACGAGTCATACATACAGCCAAACAAGAACAAGGACACCTTTCTGAAACCAGTTATCCCTCCAACTTCTGGCTCCTCCGTTCCTCTGCTTGCTCTCGAAGATTCGCCTTCTGTTAGGGCTTTGTACAGGTGCACACAATCTTGTAACAACTACTGTTACGTGTCTGATGACCCGACTGCTCTCTGTCCGAGCTGCCGCCGCCTTATGAGTATGGCTATGCACTACGTTGCTCCGCCCGCAAAGAATGAATCTTGCGAAGAAGGTGGGTTTGTTAAAGGGGTGGTTACTTACATGGTGATGGATGATTTGGTGGTCAAGCCAATGTCTACTATCTCCAGCCTCACACTTCTTAGCAAGTTTAATGTTAAGGAAGTTGGTGCTTTATTTGGATTAGTACTTTTGTTAGTTTATTAATTACTTTTGTTTTTGGGATATATATGCATCCGATCCATGAACTTGAACTCCTTTTGTACGTAGCTAGCTAGCTCTGAGTTCAAATGAATTGCAATTGTATGTGTATGTTATAGTCTCTGTTTTGCTTCTCTAATTTAAATCGGCAGCCATATATAAGCATTTAGTATATTTCTATATTTCCTCCTCGATTTTAACTATTCTCATTTCTCAACTTATTTTAACTTGGGCCCAGCTCACTAAAAATAGCTCAGTAAAAAATAGGTTCGATTCAAATATAATTCGGCCAAGCGGCCATTTGGTTTTGGCTGAATTGCCAGTCCTACCCATTTCATATGATTGGGCCGATTTAATTATCACGGGACTAAAACATTATTAAGCTGAGTTACACTTAGGTAAGTTAGCCTGAATAACTTCCTTGCGGCCAAACATGAATATGTTTTGTTTTGGATTTCTTGGTAGATGGATCAATTTTTGGTTGTGTTAATATGTCTGTAATTATGATTGTAAATTATTAATTCGGTGCCTCAAAAAAAAAAAAAAAAAGAAATTGCATGATCATACCTAGACTTTACTAATTCGGTGCACCGATGACTTAAAAGTCCATTTTTGACTGAAATCTTGCCTGAGTTGCACGCGTGAGATATTCACGTGAGAATGAAGGGTTAATTTCGCCGATTCACTAAATTTTTATAAGAAAGAAAAACGAAAATTGAAAAAAGAATAAAAAAAGAAGTATGGCATCACCCCAAATATTTTTTTAGAGGTATTCATAAAAAAGTACAAAAACAAGTAAACATTTATAGATTTATTTTAAATGTGATAAGTTTTAACAATGATAGATGATGATTATGAAAAAAACTATAAATATTTAAATAAAAGTATTGAAAAAACTTGAAGAGGCCAAATCCATATTTACGAGAAAAAATGGGGGCAAAAATCCAATTTACAAAATATTACCCGGAACAAATATTTAATTTGTTTTTCTAATGTCGGGGGCCACAGTAACAGAAGCATATCTTCGTCCAGTAAGAATTCAGCTCGATGAGCAGAGACAATATTAACATTAAAATATTACCATCTTTTCATCGTGAAATGTAGAACCAGGTGCACGCCTACCTTGAAGACATCAACCGGCAACAGGCAACAGCCACAGAGAATTGAATACATCGGAAACAAGATATACGTACACTCTTTCTCTCTCTATATATACATACAAACAGATGCTCTCTACAAAACCTAAATATTACATTAAGTACAGTAGGTATGGCGAAATCGACAGTTAGCATGAAGCTGCTGATTGACACCCATGCAAAAAGAGTTCTGTTTGCTGAGGCAGACAATGATTGTGTTGATTTCCTGTTCTACATACTCTCTTTGCCCGTAGCTAACCTCGTCAATCTTGTGGGAAAAAACCAAATGGTGGGCTCTTTGGGAAACCTGTACGAAAGCATTGAAAATATGAATGACTCTTACGTACAACCAAACAAGACAAAATTAAAGGCTCACTGTCTGTGGTGGTTCTACTGTTAGTTCCACCTCTGCTTGCTCTCAAAGATGCGCCTACTACTAATGTAAGGAAATACTACACATGTTCCCAATGTTGTTATAGCTATAATTATGTATCTGATGCTGCAAACACTGTTTGTCCGAACTGTGCGATCGTTATGAACGTATCCATGCATTACGTGAAGGAGGTGGGTTTGTGAAGGGGGTGGTGACTTATATGGTTATGGATGACTTGGTTGTCACGCCAATGTCTACTATCTCCAGCATTACACTTCTCAACAAATTTAATATCAAGGAAGTTGGCTCGTTGCAGGAAAAAGTTGTCGATTTGGGAATGGCCGAGGTAATTTATATATATATATATCATATACTTACAGCTACTTAATTACATTGTCAATGAAATGATTGTAATGATTTTTAACCTAGCTAGGCTGTGAAGTTGTTGAAGGCTGCACTGGAGAGCGACAAGGTTCTTACCAGTGTGTTCTTGAAGTGAAATTGATGACAAGCCAGTTGAAGAAAGTGATTTATAATCTATTTAATTATCCTTCGTTGTGGATTATTGTTATTATTGCTGATTACTGTTTTTATTTTCTTTCTTCACTGAAACTTTATTAATTAAGTAGTTGGCCTTTTAATTTGTACCCGAGTTCGAATGCATTGTAATGAAATCTTACCCCTCTGCTGTTTCTATTATAATTTTAGCAAGCAAAAATCCATTGCCATCCACACACACACACACACATTCACATTTATTTATAGTTGTGTTGTGATTAAAACGCTTGAGTAAAGATATAGTTATTCTCTTTCTCCATGATTTAACTATTACCAGTAGTTAAAAATTAAACCTATACAGTTATATTATATAACTATTTTTACATTTTTCTTTGGTTATGATTAGTTACTCACGAAATCTAAACTCTATAGTTACAATTTAATGTAAAAAAACCATATATTTTAAGTAACGTTGTAAACATTACATTGTTTTGTTCCTATGATGTGATTAAGTAATTTATTAAAAAATCATTTGTGTTGTTGGACCATACGGTAGTCAATAAGAAATTCCTCAGAACAATATTTTGCACAATTTCGGCTGAAAAATTATTGGATCAATCAACCATTACTTATGTTGCGTCGAATTATTTAATTAATCATTACTAATCTTATCGGCCAAATGAGGTCTATCGATCGATATCGGCCGTCCTTTCCCTTTTTTAATTTTCTTTTTCTTTTTGATCTTTTGTGGCCGGAGTAGTACATTGGTTTTATAGAAAAATAACAAAATGAGCATTTGAAAATTTAATAGATATTTATGCATCGGAGTTACTGTTATTAAATAGAGATGGGTAGTGGAAGATAGTGAACCGTGAAAAATATTACTTTAAAATCGAAAATTATTTTAAAATAGATTCGTACGTGTAATTTGTGTACAGGTCTTGATCCACGAGATTTCATGATAAGGTGACAATGCATGTATATCAATCCCTTTTCCTCGTAGATTGTATAATCAGCAGCTTTACGTGTAAATATTATGGATACTTGAAGAAGCAAAACCTGACAATTACTACAGCTGTGTGAATATCCAGAACTCACCCCCCTATATAATCAGATTGCCAATAAAGAAAAAAAAAATATATTATATATTCAATGTTAAGATGAACGCTTGTTCTCAAAAAAAGAATAGAGGAAAGAATAAAGGAAAATCGAAAAAAAGAGAAGAAGTTAGAGAGGTAGAATTAGATCAAGATACAGGTTCTTATAAAAAAAAAATAGATCAAGATATATGTATGGCGAAATCCTCTGTAATAAGCATGAAGCTCTTGATCGATACTCATGCAAAGAGAGTTCTATTTGCCGAGGCAGGCAAAGATTGTGTGGATTTCCTGTTTTACATACTCTCTTTGCCTGTAGCTAACCTCATCAATCTTGTCGGAAAAAACCAAATGGTGGGGTCTTTGGGAAACCTGTACGAAAGCATAGAAACCCTAAACCAGTCATACATACAGCCAAACAAAACCAAAGACACCCTTCTGAAACCAGTGGCTTCTGTCTGTAGTGGTTCTTCTGTTCCTCTGTTAGCCCTACAAGATGCACCAACGGCGGCTACTAGTGTAAAGAAGTTTTATAGATGCATCAATTATTGTTCTAGTTATGTTAGTGATGGCCCAAACGCCGTTTGTCCGAGTTGTCGGAATACTATGAACAGTACAGTCAACTACGTGGCTCCTCCTTCTGGAAAACAAGAACCGCCGGCCGGTAGTAGTAGTGAAGAAGGTTTAGGGTTTGTTAAAGGGGTGGTGACTTATATGGTGATGGATGACTTGGTTGTCACGCCAATGTCTACTATTTCCAGCATTACCCTTCTCAACAAGTTTAATATCAAGGAAGTGGGGTTGTTGGAGGAGAAAATAGTGGATTTGGGAATTACTGAGGTATTTTATATTTAATATTATTAATGTCAGTCACTCTTATTATTTTACACATATTTTTGTTCCTTAATTTCAATAGGTTTTAATTTGTGTGCCATTTGAAAATACGTACCTAGGCTGTGAAGTTGTTGAAGGCTTCTCTGGAGACCGACAAAGTTCTTACCACTGTCTTCTTGAAGTGAATAATTAGGGGCTCCACGTCAACTGGTTAATTGAAGAAATTTGCTCGTGCTTGTTATGCATTTTGTATAATATATTAACTGCTTTTGCTTCGTCGTTTGATCTTCGATCTTTTTGTTTTTGTTTTTTTGGGTGTAAATTAAATGAAGTTGATCACCTCCTTTTGTACGTATGCTTCCCTTTGAAGAAGCACAACAGTTGCACGTCAATCGGCGGCCAGTTAACCTAAGTTAACATTACTTTTACATGATTTAATTGTTCAAAATTTTTAAACTCATCTATAAAAATAATTTATAATATAAAACCAAAGGTGGGTCCCCCACGATCAGAGAGTACTCACTTTGTCCCTTATTATTGGTCTTTTAATTTTACAGAGTTTTTGTTGTTCAAAATTATTTGTCATGTTACTTTTTCAATAAAACATTAATTATATTATTCTCAATTTTACCCTTTTTTACTACTCCTCTATCATAAATACGTGCATGAGTACTCCATATAGGATACATCAACAGCCAATTTCAAATTAAAACTGCCAAGTTGACATGACTTAGTTCATTGCAATCAAAACGCACTATAGCTAGCTGTACGCATATTAGTCCATATAGAATACTTCAACAGCCATGCAAATTGAATACACTATATGTATCTATCAATATTGTAAACTATATATACACACACACACACATCAGATGCTCAATTGTTCATTACGATATGGCGAACTCGTCTGTAAGCATGAAACTATTGATCGATACACATGCAAAGAGAGTCCTGTTTGCCGAGACGGACAAAGATTGTGTGGATTTCATGTTCTACATACTCTCCTTGCCAGTAGCTAACCTCGTCAATCTTGTCGGAAAAAAACAAATGGTGGGTTCTTTGGGAAACCTGTACGAAAGCATTGAAAATCTGAACCAGTCTTACATACAACCAAACAAGACAAAAGATTCTCTTCTGAAACCAGTGACGGCACATACAAGTGGTTCTCATGTTCCTCTATTAGCGCTGCAAGCTGCACCCACTACTGTGAAAAAATTCTATACCTGCACACGACGTTCCAGTAATGATTATGACGATTATTGTTATAGTAATAATAATAATTGTAATAGTAATGTATCTGATGATCCAAACGCTGTTTGTCCGCATTGTAACGGGGCTATGAGCATTAGCATGAACTATGTTGCTCCACCTCCAAAAAAGGAATCTAATTCGTCAAGCAATGAAGAAGGTTTAGGGTTTGTGAAGGGGGTGGTGACTTATATGGTGATGGATGATCTTGTGGTGGAGCCCATGTCTACTGATACGGGCCATTCTGGAAAGATCCAATACGAATTAGGCCCACGACAAAAGGCCCATGGCAATTCAGCCCAATGATATAAAAAGACCATTAGGTCGTACGACCTCAACGACGAACTGCGGAACTTCGGCTCGCAGGCCCAGTATCGGCTCGTGGTAAATCGAGCCCAGGGTTGTAAAAGGCCCAATACACACAATGGCTTGAGGGGGGAAAAAACCCTAAAAAGGAAACCTTGGAGGCCAAGGTTTCCTCATTTATAAATAGGGAATGATATTGCGTTTTTCCACACAGATAATATACATTTTTTCACATACTTTTACGTACTTTCTAAAAACTCGCTTTGAAATCATACTGACTTGATCGTCGGAGCTTTCCCGCCGGGAACACCTCCCGGCGTTGCAGGTCTTTTTTCTACTGGAATCCGACAGAGAGCTTAGAGGACGCGAGGAAGAGCCCCACGGACCAAATCAAGTGGCGCCGTCTGTGGGAAAGGCCTAAAAATCAGGAGAAAACAGCTTCCGGGAAAAATCAGATCTACCCCCGGAAGTCCAGATCTGAGCTGAGAACGTGGAGAAAGAATGGACGGAGAAGACGCAGTCGCCCGGAATTTGCAGAAGGATTTGGATGCGGTAGCCCGTGGTGCACCGGTTGACCCATCGTCCGTTCAGAAAGATAAATCGGGGTGTAGCTTCCTTACACCTGAAAAGGAGGGCCGGATCCCCTTCGCTCCAAGCAGCCCCTCTTTCGAGTTCCAGGATGGCGAAGCTGCTTCGAGAAGGCCAGCCACAACCCCCGCTCAGGCTCCCAATGAGCGCACGTATACCCGAGACGAGGTGGAAACCATGATCACCGCGGCCATCAGAAACTACACCCAAAGTTTACCTCACGATAACCGACTCAGGAGGGATCCCAGACATTCCCCGAACGAGGGACGAGCTGATGACGAAGGCGACAGTTATTCGGAAAATCGAAGAGGCGATAGTCATAGAGTCAGGACCGAGGTAGACAGCCTGAGACGCGATATGGATGAATTAAAGGCCTTACGGAACAGGCCAGCGCGAGATCTCGTGGGATCTAGCCCTTTCGCAAAACACCTTGATGATGACCCCATACCAGCTAGCTACCGACCCATTTCGTTCGAGTACAATGGCACATCGGATCCCGCCGAGCACCTAAGCCGTTTCAACAATACAGCATCGCTTCATCAGCTCACAGAAGGGGTGAGATGTCGTGCCTTCGCTACCACTCTAGCCGGATCTGCTCAGGCCTGGTTCGGTTTGCTGCCTTCCGGGAGCGTACAATCTTTCGAGCAATTTGCCAAGGCTTTCATGAACCAGTTCGCCAGCTCAAAGAAGTGCAAAAAAACCTCCCTGTCACTATTTAGCATTCGCCAAAAGGAGAAAGAAAGCCTCAGGAGTTACATCAAACGGTTCACCTCGGCCACCCTGGAAGTCCCGACCACCAGTGATGAGGTACTCATGGCAGCTCTTTCTCAAGGACTGAGAGATGATGAGTTTTTCCGAGCTTTGGCGCTGGAGCCGTCCCCTGATTTCGATAACCTATTAGAAAGGGCATCTAGGTTCATCAATTTAGAAGAGGCCCGCCAACAGAAAATGGAAGAATCTCACCAAGTCGCAAATGCACGAGTCAGCGAAGTAAAGAAAGGCAGGGAGCTCATGTTACCTCGCAGGGATGCCAATGCCCCTAGTCGGAGTATTGTCCCGGATGCTAAGGGATCTCGTTTTCAATCATATCAGCCCCTTACGGCTCCTCTGTCCCAGGTGTTGTGCGCGATTGAGAAGAGGGCTGATCTACGATGGCCTCGAACTGCTCGCGGAGCCCCCCGTCGAGATCCAACGTTGGGTACTTTTTGCCGTTTCCATAATGAATATGGACATACGACCGACGATTGCGCACATCTGAAGGACGAAGTGGAACGTCTCATTAGAGATAACAAAATCGGGGATTTTGTGAAGATAGATTCACCTCGGGGACAAAAGCGTGAAGCCCAGTTTGGGAACCCGCCACGAGCACCGCCACCACCACCAGCACCGAAAAGAGGGTACATTCAGATGATTTCGGGGGGTCCTACGGGAGGAGATACTCACCGGGCTAGGAGACGCCACCTCGGTAGCCTCAAAAATAATCATGAGGTTTGCCAAATCTCGACACCGAAGTATCGTCAATATCCCACTATCTCGTTTGGTCCGGAAGATGAAGCGGACCTAGAGGATTTCCATTGTGACCCTCTCCTCATCACGATTAACGTTGGGGGGTACGATGTCGCTCGCGCCTTCGTTGATCCAGGAAGTTCGGTGGATGTTATATCCTACGAATGTTTCCTGCAAATGGAGCTTGACCTCCCAATCTTCCCTGTCACTATTAATAAATAAACATAAGCCCATTAGAGTAAGCCCAATACGATAGGCCCATAATGAAGAACCCATGATGTCTTAGCTCGGTACCGCGAGCGAAGTCGTCGTATGGTGCGAACCCCGGAACTACTTGGGAGTACCTTAACTCGCTAGCCCAATATCAAAACGAGGTAAGGCGAGCCCAGGACAATACAGGCCCAAGATACATGACTTGGGGGAAAAGAGAAACCCTAAAAAAGGAAAGCCTTGGAGGCCAAGCTTTCCTCATCTATAAATAAGAGAATCAACACACACACAAAGGGATGAGATTTTTACACTAATCACTATTACATTGCATATACATTTTTCTATTTCCGATCACTGACTTGATCGTCGGAGCTTTCCCGCCGGGAACCCCTCCCGGCGTTGCAGGTTTATTCACCCGGAGTACGAGCGGAGCTGGCTTGAGGAAGACGAAGACCTACGGACTAAATCAAGTGGCGCCGTCTGTGGGAAAGTCCTGAAGTTTTGGGAAAACAGCTTCCGGGAAAAATCAGATCTACCCCCGGAAGTCCGGATCTGAGCTGAGAACGTGGAGAAAGAATGGACGGAGAAGATGCAGTCGCCCGGAATCTGCAGAAGGATTTGGATGCGGTAGCCCGTGGTGCACCGGTTGACCCATCATCCGTTCAGAAAGATAAATCGGGGTGTAGCTTCCTTACACCTGAAAAGGAGGGCCGGATCCCCTTCGCTCCAAGCAGCCCCTCTTTCGAGTTCCAGGATGGCGAAGCTGCTTCGAGAAGGCCAGCCACAACCCCCGCTCAGGCTCCCAATGAGCGCACGTATACCCGAGACGAGGTGGAAACCATGATCACCGCGGCCATCAGAAACTACACCCAAAGTTTACCTCACGATAACCGACTCAGGAGGGATCCCAGACATTCCCCGAACGAGGGACGAGCTGATGACGAAGGCGACAGTTATTCGGAAAATCGAAGAGGCGATAGTCATAGAGTCAGGACCGAGGTAGACAGCCTGAGACGCGATATGGATGAATTAAAGGCCTTACGGAACAGGCCAGCGCGAGATCTCGTGGGATCTAGCCCTTTCGCAAAACACCTTGATGATGACCCCATACCAGCTAGCTACCGACCCATTTCGTTCGAGTACAATGGCACATCGGATCCCGCCGAGCACCTAAGCCGTTTCAACAATACAGCATCGCTTCATCAGCTCACAGAAGGGGTGAGATGTCGTGCCTTCGCTACCACTCTAGCCGGATCTGCTCAGGCCTGGTTCGGTTTGCTGCCTTCCGGGAGCGTACAATCTTTCGAGCAATTTGCCAAGGCTTTCATGAACCAGTTCGCCAGCTCAAAGAAGTGCAAAAAAACCTCCCTGTCACTATTTAGCATTCGCCAAAAGGAGAAAGAAAGCCTCAGGAGTTACATCAAACGGTTCACCTCGGCCACCCTGGAAGTCCCGACCACCAGTGATGAGGTACTCATGGCAGCTCTTTCTCAAGGACTGAGAGATGATGAGTTTTTCCGAGCTTTGGCGCTGGAGCCGTCCCCTGATTTCGATAACCTATTAGAAAGGGCATCTAGGTTCATCAATTTAGAAGAGGCCCGCCAACAGAAAATGGAAGAATCTCACCAAGTCGCAAATGCACGAGTCAGCGAAGTAAAGAAAGGCAGGGAGCTCATGTTACCTCGCAGGGATGCCAATGCCCCTAGTCGGAGTATTGTCCCGGATGCTAAGGGATCTCGTTTTCAATCATATCAGCCCCTTACGGCTCCTCTGTCCCAGGTGTTGTGCGCGATTGAGAAGAGGGCTGATCTACGATGGCCTCGAACTGCTCGCGGAGCCCCCCGTCGAGATCCAACGTTGGGTACTTTTTGCCGTTTTCATAATGAATATGGACATACGACCGACGATTGCGCACATCTGAAGGACGAAGTGGAACGTCTCATTAGAGATAACAAAATCGGGGATTTTGTGAAGATAGATTCACCTCGGGGACAAAAGCGTGAAGCCCAGTTTGGGAACCCGCCACGAGCACCGCCACCACCACCAGCACCGAAAAGAGGGTACATTCAGATGATTTCGGGGGGTCCTACGGGAGGAGATACTCACCGGGCTAGGAGACGCCACCTCGGTAGCCTCAAAAATAATCATGAGGTTTGCCAAATCTCGACACCGAAGTATCGTCAATATCCCACTATCTCGTTTGGTCCGGAAGATGAAGCGGACCTAGAGGATTTCCATTGTGACCCTCTCCTCATCACGATTAACGTTGGGGGGTACGATGTCGCTCGCGCCTTCGTTGATCCAGGAAGTTCGGTGGATGTTATATCCTACGAATGTTTCCTGCAAATGGAGCTTGACCTCCCAATCTTCCCTGTCACTACTCCGATATTCGGGTTCACGGGAGGATCCCTGACGCCGGTTGGACAAGTTAAAATCCCCGTCACTATAGGGACGCCACCTCGAGTACGCACTCAAACCGTCAATTTCGTCATTGTCGAAGGATCGCCAACCTCGTATAATATCGTGATAGGGCGACCGATGTTACATACCTTTCGGGCGGTCCCTTCAACCATTCATCAAAAGCTTAAGTTTCCAGTTGATGGAACGGTGGGAGAGGTCAGGGGCGACCAAGCCCAATCGAGATCGTGTTATGTCGAAATGGTTAAAGTAGCAGAGAAAGGCCGACGTGATACCCT